CCGGCAGCTACCCCGCGCCGGCGCTCGCGGCCCCACGAGACCCCGCCTCCGCTCCGCTGGCGTCACCGGCCGGCTCCTCGAGGCCTCCTCTCTATTGGTCCCTGCGGAACAACGGCCTCCTATTGGCTATACCTCAGGCAAGGGGCGGGTAATTGTGTGCCTGCGGCTGGAGGAGCTGCGCCGCGGTCCTAGCGCCGAGCGTAAACACTCTGGGAATCCACTGTTCCGGAGGCCGGAAGCACTCGGAAGTCACGTGCTGCCCGGGAGGTGCGAATGATTGGCTTGGCTGGACCTGAATGATGCGGCTGTGATTGCTGAATTGTCTGGGCAGGTAAAAGGGAACACGATCTTTTCCCCCGTCTTGGTCTGTGTAGCCTTTTGCTCTTAGAGTCTGTGAGCGTTTTGCCCTGTGTGCCTTGTTTGCAGGGGGGAAAAGCGCTCGTTATATTTTACTCGAAGGGCACCTGCTGCCGTGCATGTAACACAGGAGATGCTCCGTTGCATGCATTTTGTTGCAGTCATGTGACGGCCGGAGGGCGCTGCTTACTACGTAGCAAGCATCAGAAAGGGTTGGTCTGGTCTTTCCTAGGGATGTTGTAGGATGCGTGGAGCCGAGGGTTTAAAAGTCAGTCAGATACATCCCGCGTGCAAAACGGGTCTTTCAGAATTCGGTATTGGGGTAATTATACATGGCCTGCTTCTGACAGAGAATTCGAAGTCCCTTCAAAGAAAGCAAGCATCCTGAAGTAGAGTCTTGGACAATTGGTTCAGGAGGCTGTGTCAAATTTGTGGGTGGCAACGTTAGATATTGTATTTTATTTTCCTCAGGGATTTACAAGTGATGGGAGAGTTGGAGGGGGAGCATTAAGCTGAGAGTGCAAGTTTTTAAAAAATATTTCAAAATAATTCATGAGCTTTCCTTCATAGAGGAAGCTGCTACTGTTGACCTCATTTTAGCTAATTTTCCACAAGAAGGGTAAGCTGGTGGGTTTCTCTCTTATCAGCGGCCCTAGTGACACCACCGGGAGGTCGTCAGGATCAGGAAGCCATTCGACAGCCAGTTATGATTCTCTGAACAAGAGACATATCATCTTTGGTTCTGATACAAAAAAATAATTCAAGGAGGCTAAACCTATTCATGGATTTATTCATTTATTTCTTCTAAGGTAAGAGTGAGACTGGAGTAAGGGATCTAGAAAAGAGTAATCTGAAGACCTAGAGATGTCTTATTCATTGGCTAAGTACTTGCTGAGTACTGCTGTGTGCTAGGTAGTGCTCTAGAAGCTGAGGCTGGGGGCCAGCAGGTGGCAAAGTGGTTAAGGTGCTGGACTCCCACATGGCAGACTGTGATTCAAGTCCCAGACCTGGCAGCATAAAACTCACACTGGGTGCCTGTGCATGTATACTCAAAATCCCAGGTGGAAAATAGAGAAGGGATTGCAACGTGGCCATCCACCCTGGGGAGTGTTTTTTAAAGAAGCAGCAGCAGCTGAGGCTGAAGTGTGAGCAAGGCAGACAGGATCCCTGCTTTTATATAACATCTCCATTCTAATGGGGAGGGGCAGATTATAAATAAATAAACATGCGGGTAAATAAATAAATACTACGAAGAAAATAAAACAGGGCTATATTATGAGGGGTCAGGAGAATAAGAAGCCGCCTCGGGGAGGAGGCGACATTTGACTTGAGGGACCTAGCCATGCAAAGTTCAGAGGGAATAGCCTTCAGGGAGAGAGAAGAGTAAATACAGAGGCCTTGAGGCAGGGACAGACTGATTGGAGGAACAGGAAGGCCAGCGTAACTAGAGAGAACTATAAAAGGGAGCGAGGAAGGAAACGTGGTTGGGAACAGGTGAGGTGACATCAGGTAAACCTGCAGAGTGAGAACAGAGCTCGTGTGTATTCTAGTTGCAATGGAAGCCATTGGAAGGGATGAAACATGTTTTCTGTATTTCCCAATCAGGACTCATAGTTTGACAAGTGAACAAAACACAGTAGATTATTGTTGTTATTTATTATTATTTTAAGGTTTTTGCCATAAGGATGTGTGCACTTGTGGGAGAAAAGCAGAGAGAGACAGTGAGAGGGAAAGTGAGAAATCACCCCCCAACGGGTAGGGTCATGCCACAATCCCTTCTGTTTTCTTCTCTCAAGATTTTGGGCATGGTTGTACACGTGCCCAGTGTGAGTTTCAGGCTGCTAGGTCTGGGATTCAAACCACGGTTGGCCGCGTGGGAGTCTGGCACCTTAACTGCTATGCCACCTGCTGGCCCCTAAAATACAGTAGGTTATTAAGAGCCCATGAGAAGGACCAATGAAAGGCTCCCCAGAGGTCCCAAGCAGATGGACTCCTTGGCTCAGTGCTATCAGAGGTACCCCAGGACTTAGCAGATTCAAGGCATCCCGTGGATTCATGCACGTGTTCTGTTCCATCAGGAACTGGAATTTCTGGGACACTCCCCTGACCTGTCACCCCTCTAGAGAGGAAGCAGAGGGGAGGCCTGCTTTCTCCAGGAACCGCTGGTCACATCCCCATCGGCACTCCTGAATGCCCGACTTAACTGCCGTCAACATGGAGTTCTGAGGTCCATGTGGCTCCTCGCAGTGAACAAGGTGATGTCTTTTCATCAGAATTTTCGTCTTCATTTTACCAACATTTTACCACTCTATTCTGTGTGAGAGTTGGAAAGAAGCTTTGGGTGTGACCGATCCACCCCCTCCGTGTAACGAATGAGGAATTGATGCCGCAGAGAGGTTACCGATGTTCTCAGGGCCACACAGCGAGGGTCCAGCATCAGTCCAGAATCCCTGTCTCCCGCCTGCCCGTGTGCGACTCATTTCCCCCCACCAACACCCTTTTCCTACATAGCTCCTTGCTTTTTCCTCTCACACGAGGACTCGCTCCACCTCTGGGTCTCTTCTTCTTCCTCTGAAGTGGGACAATACTACTTTCCTCATAAGATCATCAAATTGAGGATTGAGAGTCATATAAGATCAAAACAAGGGGACCAGAAAGTGGCATGGCAGTAAAACACAACCCTCTGTGAAGCGGACCCACACAGGAAGGTCATTGGTTCAAGGCCAGAGACCTCCCTGAGTACCATAGGTATACACAGAGCTCATGATCTGAGCTGGCTGAAGCTCACAGCATCAAGACCCTCTCAGGGGTGCTGTTTCTTTCTCTCTCTCTTTTTTTTTTCTCTCTCTCTCATGGAATAAGTAACTTAAAAAAGATTGAACCATGTTTTGGAAGATGTCAGTGAGCTCTAGGGATGTAAGATATAGTGGTACTTGTTTACAATTACCGTGGCAATGTGCCAGGTGGGGAGACTCTGGCTCACCCATGTGTTGGCTTTCAGGTGTTAAGGAAAATGCAGAGACGCCACAGCAGCAACACGGATAACGTTCCACCTGAAAGGTAGGCCCTCCCCCTGTTTGGTTCCATCTGAGGGCTCTGGGCTTCAGGGTGATGGGCAACCCAGAACTGGATTGAATAACACCTCTCTAGTTAATTGCTAGAGTCACAGGGGAGATCTGATTGGATATTGTTTTACACAGTGACAGCCTTATACTCACTACCTAATGCACAATAATAGCTTGCCATTGCTTTTATAATCATTCTCGAAACCTGCATGACAGGTGATACACTTGACACATGATTTCAATGGTTGACACATGATTTCAATGGTTGTACCCATGGATTTTCATTTATGGAAGTGTTTTAGTCCGTTTGGACTGCTATAACAAAATTAGCATGAACTCGGAGGCTTCAATACCAGGTGTTTATTTCTCACAGTTCTGGAGGCTGGGAAGTCCAAGATGGAGGCTCCAGCATATTCGGTATGCTAGTTCATAAATGGCCGTTTCCTGCTGTGTCTTCCTTCACTTGGTGGAAGATGAAAGGGATTTCTCTAAGGCCTCTTATATAAACTCACCCTCACAACCTAATCACTTGCCAAAGGCCTTACCTCCAAATACTATCACCACGTGAGAGGATTTTAACATAAGACTCTCTGGGGATGGACCAGCATATGCTGTGGTTAAGGCACTGGATCCCACATGGTTGAATCCATGGTTTGAGACCTGGACCTAGCAGCCTGAAAAACATGCCAGGTATGTGTGTGTGCATGCCCAAAATCCCAAGAGGAGGATGAAAAAGAAGGGATTATGGCATGGTCTTTCCCCTGGGGGGTTTGATTTCTAACCTTCCCTCTCTCTCTCTCCAGCAACTGCACACGCTCCATGCCTAAATAAATAAATAAATAAATAAATAATATCTGTGAGAACACAAACATTCAGTCCCTAACAGTGAGCAATGACAGAGAGGCCATTGAAAGATGACTTTTAGGGACCAGCAGTTAGCGTAATGGCTATGTCGCTGGACTCCCATGTAGTCAACCGTGGTTCGAGTCCCGGACCCAATGGCTTAAACCCACGCTGGGTGCGTGTGCGTGTGTGCCCAAGATCCTGAGAGGAGAGTGGAGGAGAAGGGATTGTGGTGTGGCCATCCCCTCTGGGGGGTGATTTCTCACTTTCTGTCTCTCTGTCTCTCTCTGTCTGTCTGGCGAGCACACACGCCCTATAGCAGAAACCTCTCCAAAAAAAGAAAGATGACTTTGATTGCTTAGGTTTTTCGAGAGGAAGAAGCACGTCACAGCACCCAAGGCCCCATGGGGAATGTCATGACTTGGTAGAAAGAAACAAGGAGAAGGCACAGGCCTCAGCCTTCCTGTGTTCCTTGTGAAGAAGAACAAGGCGGGGCAGAGAAGCGATCAAGGATTGGGTAGTTTGAATAAGGCCTGTGGCTCTGGGCTATGGAAGTGCTCTTTGACCTAGGTGATTTAGGGAGAGGAAAATATCAGCTTCATGTGTGAACATTAGGTAAAGAGAGAAGCAAGAGCTAGAGCTGAGCCACCGTCCTGGAAGCCATATGGCCAACCGTGGGTTTGAGTCCCTGGGTTGGCCTGAAAACATGCTGAGTACACGTGGGTAGCTGAGGGACTGGAGAGAGGTGGCAGCAATGTGATGGGGCTCTGTCGAGGGTCCTCTCTTTCTCTCTCTCTCTCCTGTGCACGTGCGCTCATGAATAAAAAATAAATTATAAAAGAAAAAGCAGTGTTTAGGGACATGAGCTTAGGATCACAGGGGAGATGTAAGCCACTTTGATCATTAGTTTGGCCCAAAGATAAATGGATGTCAAGTAGACAAATACAGAATCTAAAAAAAAAAAAAAAATTAAAAAACAGAACACTCAAAAGCTATCATTTCTACCTAGTTAAACCCAAGAGAGTATACACCAGGGGGCCCTGTTCTTAGGTAGTGACGGTCTCCTAGCCCCAGATACCCTCCCCTGTCCCCTGTGCTAGCAGACAGCCAGGCTGCTCCTCCTTCAGATCCTGCCCTGGGTGCAACTCCAGGGTGACTGCCAAATCACAAGTAGTAGGCTGGCCATGTGACACAAGAGTTAGACTCTGCATAGGGATTTAGATCCCACGTGGCTATAGTTCAAGTCCCAGCCTTGTGACTTGAGAAACACACCAGAGGTTGGAACCAGCAGATGGTATAATGTTACATTGCTGGACTTCCACATAGTCGACCACAGTTCAAGTCCCAGACCTTGCAACTTCAAACTCATGCCGAGTGCATGTGCATGTGTACCCAAAATCCTGAAAGGAGAATGGAGGAGAAGGGATTATGGTGTGGCCGTCCTCCCTGGAGGGTGATTTCTTGTTCTCTGCCTTTCTGTCCCTGTCTCTCCAGCGAGCACACACACCTTATAGCAAAAATCTCTCTAAAAAGAAAATGCACCAGGGCATGTGTGTGTATGTACCAAATCCTGATGGGCTGGAGGCATGGAGGAGAAGGGCACTGCAGCATGATCATGCCCCATCAGCACGTGCTTTTTCTCCTCTCTCTCTCTCTCTCTGGCAAATGTGCATATCCTCTGGTGATAATAAATAAATAAATAAATAGAAGAAAAAATAAATAAATCACAAACTGTACTTACCTGTCCCTGCACTGGGACTAAATTTTGTATCCACCATTCCTGTTCTGTAGGGAAGAGCTGACCATAAGTCACATGACTTTCAGCCCAACTCAGCCCCTCCCAACTTATGGTGCCGTTAGCAAGTGAGTGCCCCTCTGGGACTCAGTTTCTCCATCCCTAAATGGCAGGTGATAAAACTCAGAATTGCTTGGAAATGAAGGCACACATGTGAAAACGCACAAGCGTGGCCTCTGGCTTTAATCAGCTGCTGTCGGAGCTTCTCTGGTCTCTGAAGACAGCGTTGCCGTCTGCTGTCTGGTGGAGCTTGAGATCTTTGTGGGCAGAGGCCTCAGCAGACAAACCACGCTTAAGTGTTTATTCTGTTCCCCCCTCACATTAGCCTGATGAGGTCTGGACTTTTTTTTAATCCCCCCCTTTTTTTTTTAATTGTCATTATTATTTTTTATTATAGGACATGAAAGAGAGAGAAAGAAAGTGAAAAAGCACCACCCTGGATGGATGGCCATGCCATAATCCCTTCTCCTCTATTCTCCTCTTGGGATTTGGGGCATGGATGCACACGTGCCTGGTGTCTTTCAAGCCACTGGGTCTGGGACTCAAACCGTGCAGTTGGCTGTATGGGACCCAGCCACTTGCACCAGCACACTACAGGCTGGCCCCTCTGCATTTCCAGATGAGGAAACCGAGGCTTTGGGAGAGGATGTAATGACCCAAAGTCACCCAGCCAGGAAATGACAAGGCTGAGATTTGGGCCCTAGGCATTCTGTCCCCCAAAGTCTGTGCTTGCAGACCCCACACTCTGGCTACCTTCTCTCTGGGCAGATCTGCTTCTCTGCCTGGACTTCCCCAATTTCTAACCTTTAAGGAGTTAAGTTGGAAGTGCAGCCTCCGTCCCCAAAGGAATGTTCTTTCCCATTTAGTCTGAAATCCCAGCTGGATGCAGGGAGAGGCCCAGGGAAGGGAGGCTAGCTAAAAACAGCCCTGTGGTGGGTTGAGGTTTCTCTGGCTGTACTAGAGGCCCCCTGAGCCCAGTGCACTCAGTGCTGGTGTGCTCCAGAGAAAGGGGAGGGCTTTCCAGGGTCCCTGGGGTGGAGGGAGAGAGAAGGTAGCCTCCACATGGGCCAGCGAAGACACTTGCCAGCTTCTGGAAGTGTAGAAAAAGCTCAAGGCCCCTTGAGGATCATAGCCATGGTGTCCATTGTCGTTGTTGTCAACAGTGCCATTAATGTCCGGAGCTCAAGGGAGAGGGCCATGCATTTCCTAGGCCTTTGGAGCCAGCGGGGATGGGCTATCTTCAAGTTCTGTCCGTTGGACTAGCTTTACCATAAGGTAGTCCCAGGTGTGGTATGTGAAGCCAGAGACACTAATCTGAGACTTCTGCAGTTCAGCATGGCCCTGCTGGGTTGGACAGGTGTTCTGCAAATGCGACTAGGCTTTTCGTGGATAAGAAGAATTCCAAGGGGTCAGCAGGTGGCACAGAGGTCAAAGCAGCTGGATTCCACATGACTGGCTGAGTATTTTGAGTCACAGACCCAGTGGCTGAAAATCACGCCAGTCTTGGGGTCAGCAGGTGCCATGGTGGTTGAGGGCGCTGAACTCCCACATGGCCGACTACAGTTCGAGTCCCAGACCTGGTAGCTTTCTTTATCACATTCCCTCTCTCTCTCTCTTTCTCTCTTTTCCTCTCTTTCTCTCTCTCTTTCTTTGTCCCTCTCTGGTCAAATTAAAAAATAAGTAAATAAAGTTAAATAAAATAATTATAAAAAAAAATCATACCATGCTCATGTGCCTCCGTGCCCAAAATCCTGAGAGGAGAATGAAGAAGAAGGGGTTGCAGCATGGCCATCCCCCCGAGGAGTGATTTCCCCCTTTCCTTCCCTGTCCATCTGTCTCTGTCTCTGGCAAGTTCATACACCCTATAACTAAAATAAATAGATATATAATAAAAGTTTCAGAGCTGACCCCATGGCCTAGTGGGTAAGGAGCAGGATCCCACATGGCCAATGACATAGTTCCAATCTGGCCCCAGCAGCTTGGAAGACGTTCTGGGCATGCATGTGTGTGAGCCCTGAATCTCAACAGGATACAGAAATAGAGGAGGAGGAGGAGGGACTGTAGTGTAGCCACGCCCCTCTGGGGAATTCTTTCTCCCCCTCCCTTTCTCTCTCTGTCTCTCTAGTGAACATATACACCTTCTGTCAATTTATTGTTAAAGAGATTTTTGTTATAGGACGTGTACTCTCGCCAGAGACAGAGAGAGAGACAGAAAGCAAGAAATCACCTTCCGGGGGGATAGTCACACTGCAGTCCCCTCTCCTTCATTCTCCTCTTGAGATTTTGGGCATGCATGTACATGTGCCTGGCATGACTTTCCAGCCACCAGGTCTGTGACTTGACTGCAGTTGACCATGTGGGAGTCCAGCACCTTAAGGACCTGCTAGCCCTCAGTATTTTTTTTTTTTTTTTTAGAATTCTGTGGTTAAATAAGCTTGGGAAACACCAGGTTTAAACAAAGTTAGCTTTTTCAGCTGCAGATCTCAGAGCCCTTTCATATGCTTTCCCATGCATTCCTCCCAGCATTTATCAAGCATGTTCTGAGTGCCAGGTACATTGTGCTGGGTGGTACAAATACAGTGGGGAGCATGAGGTCATGGCCTTTGACCTCACAGAGCAAGGCTCAGTCTAAAGCTGGTTCACAGCGTTTAACCACACGTTAGAATCACCGGGTACACCAGCGACCTTGACATGCTGAGGCCCACCCCTTAAAATTCTGATTCAGGTGGTCTCCCATGGGGCTGGAGTGCCTGGATTTTTCAAAAACTCTCTCAAGTGACTGTCATGTATGGCCAATGTTGAGAGCCACAAGTTTCAAGGGAAAGACAAACAGTGAAATGACAATGGCGATCAGTCCCTTGCAGAGGGGACTTGAGCTGCAATCGGCCATGTGAGAGTCCAGCATCCCAACCACCATGCCACCTGCCTGGCCCCTTGAATATATGTTTTTAAAAATGCACATGGGGGGACCAGCAGTTGACCTAATGGCTATGTTGCTGGACTCCCATGTAGTCGACCACCATTCGAGTCCCAGACCCGGTGGCTTAAACTCATGCCAGGCATGTGTGCGTGCGTGCCCAAGATCCCGAGAGGAGCATGGAGGAGCAGGGATTGCCGCGTGGTCATCTCCCCTGGGGAGTGATTTCTCGCTTTCTGGCTCTCTCTGTCTGTCTGGTGAGGGTAAGTGCCCTATAGCAAAAGAAAACCTCTCCAAAAAAAAAAAAAAAAAGCACATTGGTCTGTTTGTGGAGAAGAGATGGTACAAGATCAGGAGTGGAATCAGGGCGGGCTCCACGGCAGAGTGGAAATGCACCACTGGAGGTGCCGGGTCCCACGTGGTAACTGGTTTGAATCCCTGCCAGTGGCAGGGCTGGTTCCTTTCCAGGTCTCTCTCCTTGGCTTGTGGATACCCACCTTGTCCCTGTGTCTTGCCATGGCCTTCCCGCTGGGTGTCCAAGGTCCTAATCTCCTCTTTTGGTGAGGACACCTGTCCTACTGGATTAGGGCCCACTGTGGGACCTTGCTACCTTTTAAAGACTCTAACCCTGGGATCAGCAGGTGGTGTGGTGGTTAAGATGTTGGACACTCCCACATAGCTGACCAAGGTTCGAGTCCCCGACCTGGAGGCTTGCTTTCTCACTTTCTCTCTCTCGGGTCAAATTAAAATAAATGAATAAATAGGGACCAGCAGGTGGCGTGGTGGTTGGGGCATGGACCCTCCCAACATGGCTGACCATGGTTCAAGCTCTGGACCTGGTGGCTTGCTTTCTTACTTTTCCGCTCTTTTTCTGTGTCTCTGGTCAAAAAAAAAAGAAAGAAAGAAAAGAAAATAAATAAATACATAATCTTTTTAAAAATAAATAAATGAATAAATAAAAAATTATTTAGAAAAAAAAGACCTTACCCCTACCTGAACTTAACATTCTGGGGGTGACCGGAGGTTCGGATGTCAGCAGCGAATTGCCCCAGAGGCTACTACTGCATTAATGGTGTTGCATTTTGTCCCCTTCATTCCCTGGGCTACCACCTCTCTATCTGCCTGACCTGTGGGCTCTCTCTCTCTCCCCGGGTACCCAGAAACCGCAGCCAGGCTCTCAGCTCCGAGGCCAGCGTGGATGAAGGCGGCGTCTTCGAGAGTCTGAAGGCAGAAGCGGCCGCCCCGCCAGCGCTCCTCTCTGTTTTTTTTCCGCCACCCCCTTCCCATCCAGTCTGGTGCTGGGCTCCTCCGCAGGTGGCGGGGACGTGTTCATCCAGATGCCGGCGTCCAGGGAGGAAGGTGGGGGCCGGGGCGAGAGCGGCCCCTACCACCACCGCCAGCCCCACCACCACTTCCACCATGGCGCGCACCGCGGGAGCTCGCTGCTGCAGCACGTGGGCGCCGATCACCGCGGCCACGCGGAGGAAGGGGGCGATGAGCAGCCAGGGACGCCGGCCCCTGCCCTGTCCGAGCTCAAGGCTGTGATCTGCTGGCTCCAGAAGGGACTCCCCTTCATCCTGATCCTCCTGGCCAAAGTGTGCTTCCAGCATAAACTCGGTGAGCCTGGGGCATGTGGTCGTCATAGCCTGGGCGCCTGGAGCAGGTGGGGTGGGGCTTTTCCAAGTTCCGGGCCGACATAGTGCTGTTAAAAGAAAAATAAACCAGCCAGTTTAACAGAGTAGAGTTTGAATAGAGCAAATCTTAACACCATTTAAATCGGCCAGTTGTCCAGACTCCAGCCAGTCTTGGGGTCAACGGAGTATTTATGTCATCTCAATAGAAAAGTGTTCTACCAAAAGTGTAAATGAGGGACCAGCAGTTAGCGTAATGGCTATGTCGCTGGACTCCCACGTAGTCGACCGCGGTTTGAGTCCCCGACCCAGCGGCTTAAACTCACGCCAGGCGCGTGTGCTTGTGTGCCCAAGATCCTGAGAGGAGAATGGAGGAGAAGGGATTGCGGCGTGACCATCCCCCCTGGGGAGTGATTTCTCGCTTTCTGTCTCTCTGTCTCTCTCTTTCTGGCCAGCGCACTGCACCCTGTAGCAAAAACCTCTCCCAAAAAAGAAAAAACAAAGTGTAAGTGAGGGAGAGGTAGAGAAATCATTGGTTACGTTCTGAAGTTTGTCTGCATTAACGTGGTTTAAAAGGCGGGATGTCTGTGATTAACTGAAGCCTAGCTGTTATGATTGGCTGTAACCTAGCAACCAGCTCAGTAAAACAGCCTAACATGTAGGATTTCGGCTTATCCAAGAATCAAGTGTGGGAGTGCAGCGGCTGTTGAAGGCCCAAATAGTTTAATTTAATAGTGCCAAGTGCTTAAAGGTATGAGACTTTCCATCAGACCTGGGTTCAAATCCTGCCAACCGGCCATGTAGACTTTGGGCAAGTTGCTTGGCCTCGCTGAGCCTCAGTTTCCTCATCTGTCTAGTAAGGGGTTTTGATCGAAACTTCCCTCAGGAGGTTGGTTGATATGAAGCGGTAGTGAATTATAATTCAGAGCTCACATTGCTTGGGTCCAAACCCCAGCTCTGCCGCTTCCTGGCTGTGTGATGTTGGATACGTTACTTACCCTCTCTGTGCTTCAGTTTCAGTATGTGCAAAATGGGGGGTTAGGCTTGTCCATACCTTGTCTGCTGTGGCAGGGAGGTTAAATTCAAGTTAATATGCGTAAAACCCATCGGTTGGTGTTTGGGAGAGAGTAAGTACGATGCAAGTGTAGGTGGTTATTTTTACTTATTCATTATTAATATGCATGAAAAGACTTTCTAGATATCCTGGCACATAGCAAGTGCTGAATAAGGTACTGACTCATAAAGTCCTTAGCCTGGTACTTGACACATACTTAGTACTCAGTAAATGGTCTCTGGAATTCCAGTACTATTATTATTATTATTTACCATTACTTGCCGTTATTAGATCATGATATTGCAGTCCCCCTGAGGGCTAGTAGCCCTCGTTTTAGTGCTACACTAGGAATGATGGTAAGAATTAACCTAGTGGCCTGGGACTGGCAGAGGGCATCATGGTAACATCACTGGACTCCCACGTGGTCGACCAGAGTTCGAGTCCTGGACCCAGCAGCTTAAAACTCATGCCAGGTGCATGTGTGTGCATTCCCAAGATCCCAAGGAGAAACTGGAGGGGAAAGGATTGCAGTGTGGCCGTCCCTGCAATAAGTGATTTCTCACTTTTCTGTCTCTCTGATGAGCACATGAGCCCTATAGTAAAAACCCCTCTTTAAAAATAAATAAATACATAAATAAATAAATAAAAAGGAAAGAAAGAAAAGAATTACCTAGTGGCCTATGGTTGCCATGAGAAAACACCTGGAGGCCCCTAGGCCATTCTTCATGTCTTCTTTCCCTCTCTGGTGAATCCCAGCCACTCAGATCGCTCCACCTCGCCTGCTCGGGTGCTACTGTGTCAGCCCCTCTCTTTCTCTTCCTGCAGGTAGAAGCTGGCGTGTTCTCCCTTACGCCCAATACTGGCAGACTCATAGCTAAGTCTGATTCCTGAGAAGAGTTCTTTCTTCTTCAGTTAGTGGATTTTGTTTGTCTTTTTAAATGATGAAGAATAGGGGCCTGGATGGTGGCAGAGCAGTGACGCGATGCTATGTAAAGCTGATCCACAGGGAAAGGTCCCAGGTGCGTGTCTGGAGACCTCCCCAAACATGCCAGGTGTGCATGCCCATGATCCAGAGCTAGGTGAGGGGAAAGTGGGGGCAGAGTGGATCTAGACCCTGCTAGGGTGCCTGCCTCTCTGTCTCTCTCCCCTCTCCTTCTGTCTCTCTTGCTATGAAAAAAAGAAAAAGAAAGTTAGACAGAGAAAGAAAAAGAAAGGAAGGAAGAACAGGAAAGGAAAAGAAAGAAAACAAATTACACAGGACCAGCAGGTGGCTTGGTACTTAGGGTGCCGGGCTCCCAAATGGCCGACCACGGTTCAAGTCCTGAACCTGGTGGCTTGCTTTCTCACTTTCTCTCTGTCTGGTCAAAATAAAAATTAGTAATAAATAAAAATGAAGTAAATGAATTCTTTTTTTTTTTTTTTTTGAGAGGTTTTTGCTATAGGGCACATGCGCTCACCAGAAAGACAGAGAGACAGAAAGTGAGAATTCACCCCCCAGGGGGGATGGCCACACCGCAATCCCTTCTCCTCTATTCTCCTCTCGGGATCTTGGGCACACACACACACACACGTGACCAACATGAGGTTAAGCCACTGGGTCTGGAATTCGAACCATGGTCAACTATGTGGGAGTCCAGCAACATAACCATTATGTCATCTGCTGGTCTCAATGAACGAATTCTTTAAAAAAGAATTACAGATGGGACCAGCAGTTGGCGTAATAGCTATGTCGCTGGACTCCTATGTAGTCAACTGTGGTTCGAGTCCTGGACCCAGTGGCTTAATCTCACACTGAGCGTGTATGCGTGCATGCCTAAGATCCTGAAAGGAGAAAGGATTGTGGCGTGGTCATCCCCCTGGGGGGTGATTTTTCATTTTCTGTTTCTCTCTCTCTCTGTCTTTCTGGTGAGCACATGCACTCTCTAACAAAAACCTCTCCAAAAGAAAAAAAGAAAGAATTACAGAAAACGAGAATAGAAAAAAGATGGTAGGGTTACTCTTTCTTAGTTTTTCAATAAAGAAATAACATCTTTGCAAAGTAGACCTGGAAAAACACCTAGAGTGTACATTCTAGTAACAAAGTAAGTGAACTCACACCATATTGCGTGCGAGCCAAATCCTGGCTACAAGGACGAAATGTCGGGTTTGGAAATCATTATTCAGGAACAATTCCAAGACTATAACTTGGCAGACAGTGACAATGAAATGAATTGTGGAAACAATTTCAGTTCCGTTCTTCCATCTGCCTGGGTCATGTTTGCCTGTTAGCTGGGATTCTTGGTTTTTTTTTTGTTTTTTTTTTTTCTTTTTTCTTTTTTTCCCTATGAACATTGAACTTTAATTTGTTATGGTGTTGTGGTCTTTTTCTGTGGATGTTTTTATTGCTAATAACATAGCTCAGATTGTTTTTTGAAAGTGGAAATAGTGCTGGCATCATTTACTAGAGATAGGTCTATTAGCATCAGCCCTCCCCATAAGGTAAGCCTGGTTACCTGTCTGTCTATTTTACAGATGAGGAAACTGAGCTTTAGGGAGCTATAATGACCCCCCTAAGCTCACACAAGCAGGAGGTGCCTGAACTGGGATTCGAACTCTTTTTTTTATCTTTTTCTTTTGTAATTTGTTGTAGGGCATTTATGTTTGTTGGAGAGAGACAGAGAGAGAGCAGGAAAGTGAGAAATCACCCCCTCCTCCAGGGGGAATGGCTATACCACAATCCCTTCTTCTCCATTCTCCTCTCAGGATTTGTGTGTGTGTGTGTGAGAAACATACATCTGGTCTAGGACACCAATCACGAAGTCGGCCACGTGGGATCCGGCCATCTTAACCTCCACGCCACTGAACGCGAGTCTTCCCAGGCTCACAGTTCGTGCTTACCATGGCTCTGTAAAGTATCACCAGGGGCCTACATTCTCTCCCTAAGTCAAAGGCCTGTTGTCAGAAGGGCTCTGGGTTCTCAGTGATTTACAGGGCAGCCGAAATCCCCCAGCAGGGGGTTGTCTTTCTTACGTGGTTAGGTTGTGCACTACGAGGGGACAGAGAGGGCATCTCTTTCCTGTGTTGCCACGAGCCTGGGCCAGGCCTAATGAGCTCAGTGATGAGTGTCGGATCCTCCCCCTGTCCTGCAGGCATCGCCGTGTGCATCGGGATGGCCAGCACCTTCGCCTATGCCAACTCCACGCTCCGCGAACAGGTTTCTCTGAAGGTGAGTCACCTGGCAGCTGCCTCCCCTGTTGCTGCTGTAAGAAATGGCCACTGAGGGGGCTTAAAAGTACTTAACTGTCTCATCTTACAGTTCTGCAGAGCAGAAGTCCTCTCTGCTAAGGCGAAGGTGTTAGCAAGGCTATATTCCTTCTGAGGTCTAGGGGAGAGGCTCTGTGCCTTTTCTGGGGTCTAGAGGTTGCCCCCATTCTTGGACTCCTGGCACTAAGTTGGCTATTGTGTTGCTAAACAGAAATACTTGAGACTTGTAGTTTATAGAGTAGAGGTTTATTCTTTTTTTTTTTTTTTTTAAGGTTTTTGCTATAAGGTGCATACACTCACCAAAGAGAGACAGTGAGAGGGAAAGTGAGAAATCACCACCTTGGGGGGAGGATGGCCATGCCACAGCCACTTCTTAGGCATTCTCCTCCTGGGATTTTGGGCACGCACACATGCCTGGCGTGACTTTCAAGCTGCCATGTCTGAGACTCCTAACCTGTGATCGACCATGTGGGAGTCCAGCATTGTAACCACTCCACCACCTGCTGGCCCCATAGAGGTTTATTTAGCTCATGATTCTAGCAGTTGGGGAGTCCAAAGAGGCAGGGCCAGCATCAAGCTGGGCTCTGATGCTGCACCACGACATGACCGACAGCAGCAGAGAGACAGCAGACACACGCGTGTGCAAAGAGGGAGAGCTGGGGCAGCCATCTTCCTTTATAACAGCCTGCTCTTGTAGGAACTCACTCCTTCTTCTGAGAGCTGCCATTCACTCTCAAGGCAGCATTAATCCATTCATAATGCTGATGCTTCCAGGATCTAACCGCCACCCATGAGCCCTCGCCTCTTAAAGCCCCACCACCTCCCAGCACCATTACACCGGGAACCAACTTCCAAACATGAACCTCTCGAGGACAAACCATTATGTAAGCCATAGCAGGCTCCCCTCTCCTTTTTCAAGCCAGTGACCTTGCATCCCTGTGACCATCCTCCTATAGTCACAGTTCCTGTGGACATTCCTATTCTTCCTCCCTCCTCCATGTTTAAGGTCCCCTTGGACCATCTGGAATAGCTCCTATCAGAGTCAGCTGCAGATTTAATCCCTTTTTTGCCTTGTAGCCTAACGTACTCACAGATTCCAGAGATTAGGACCGAACCTCTGTGGGGGGCCATTCTGCCTCTTGGCCCTGGGCTGCTCCCCAATGTGCTGTCCTCCTCCCGTGAGCTCTGTACAGGCTCTTTGGAGGGCAGCATCTCCTCCATGCTCCTGGCCCAGCATTCTAACCTCCAGGCATTCAATCTGTGAGTTAACTCCCAGCATGCCGCCTGGTAAGGCCATCCCATTCTCACTCCTAGATGGCCATGCAGCTCCGCACCTTGCCTGAGTATCCCCAAATGTCTGCCAAGTGCTCCCCGTGTGGCCAGCGCAGTGCTGAGCCCATTGGCTGTCCCATCTTATGGACTCGCCCCAGGAACCTGGGAGGGAGACACAATCACTAGCTTTCATTTTCCTCGAGGAAACAGCGGCTCGGAGATATTAAGTTCCCATACCTGAAGTCGCAAGGCTAGTGTGCATGTTGGTACCCAGATTTTTTTAAAAGAGGTTTTAGCCATAGGGCATGTGGATTCGGCGGAGAGAGAGACAGAGACAGAAATGCTGAAAGGGAAAATGAGAAATCACCCCTTACGGGGCATGCCATAGTCCCTTCTCCTCCATTCTCCTCTTGGAATTTTGGGCACACACACACACACACGGCCTGGTGTGAGTTTTAAGCCTCCAGGTCTGTGACTCCAACCGTTGTCGACTGCGTGGGAGTCTAGCAATGTAACCATTACGCCACCTGCTGGTTACAGAGGACACAGTGAACTGCGCTATTCGTAGGAGCCTCTGCCTCCCACTGGACAGTGATCTTGCAGCAGTCTCTGTCTTCTCTGACCCTCCGTAATATCAGCTGGTTTCTCAAAAGCACTCAGGCCTCCATGCATCACCTGGCTCAGGCTTTATTAGCACATGTGCACATTGAGGTCGAGTTCCAGAATGTCCCTTGATTAGGAGCAACTCTTTATTGTTAGTATTGTTACTAATTTATTATTTTTTATTTATTTATTTTGAGAGATTTTTGCTATATAGGGTGTGTGCTCGCCGGAGAAGCAGGGAGAGATAGAGAGACAGAAAGCAAGAAATCACCCCTCAAGGGATGGCCATGCTGCAGTCCCTTCTCCTCTATTCTCCTCTCAGGATCTTGGGCACACATGTGTACACGCACCCGGCATGAGTTTTAAGCCTCTGGGTTCAAGACTCGAACTGCAGTCAACTATGTGTGAGTCCAGTGCTGTAGCCATTATACCATCTGCTGGTCGCACTAATTTATTTTTTTTTTATTGCCACATGGTGCATGCACTCTCTAGAGTGAGAGAAAGAAGGAAAAAACATCCCCCGACAGGGTGTGGTCACACCCCAATCCCTTCTCCTTTGCTCCATGCCGTGAGGATCTAGGCACACAAGCACAGGTGCCTGGCATGCTTTTCAAGCCACTGGAGCAGGATTTGAACTGCGGTCAACCATGTGGGATCCAGTTCCCAAAGCACCGTGCTTAACCACTGCACTATAGGGCCAGCCAAGCGGCAACTTCATTTTGCCAGGGTTTTGAAGGAAGTAGACTGATGGTGAAGGGAAGGGTCTGGCACCTTTCTGTCTCACTAGGACCCAAGGAGTTGTCCCAGAGGAGGTGACAGAATGGCATAGACCTTCCTGAAGAACCATCCAGGAAGGTTGTAGAGGAATGTGGTTTGTAGTATGGACTCCAGAACTGGATGGCCTGTGTTCAGAACCAACGACTCTTCTGGACCCTTAGGCTCTTCTTCATGCAAACCTCTTCTTGCTACTTTATTATTTTTTAGAGAGAGATTTTTGCTATAGGGCACTCACTGGAGAGACAGAGAGACAGAAAGCGAGAAATCAGCCCCCCAGGGATGGCCATGCCACAGTCCCTTCTCCTCCATTCCCCTCTCAGGATCTTGGGCACGCATGCACACATGCCTGGCGTGAGTTTTAAGCCGCCAGGTCCAGGACTTGACCTGCAGTTGACTACATAGGAGTCCAGAAACGTAACCATTACACCATCTGCTAGTCACTCTGCTCCTGTTCATGTAGCAGGTTGACTGCACACCAGAGTGGGGCCCTGTGAGGGCTGGCTTTTTCACAAGCACAGTAGCACCTACGTGGTGCCTTGACTTGTATCATAGGTTAAGAGAAGATGCCTAGATCCTTGGACAGCCCTGTTGGGTCCTTGAACCCAAAAAGACACAGGTGACTTTTTGCAAGTGCAGTTTTTTTCTGTTCAGAAGGGTGCACGTGACCTTCCACTGGTGGGCAAGCCTTTGTCCTTGAGACTCTGTCTTCTCAGAGCATTGCGAGTTCCCTTTTTATTCCAGCTCTGGTTTGGATTTACAGAGAACTGGGATCTATCACTCATTAGGGTAAAAGGGACTGCCGAGTGGATTCATCACATTGATAAGAGCGAGTGGGTTGGCTGGAGGTGGTTTCTGGAGTCGTTAACCTTGACTGCTGCTGGGATAATGGATGGAGGGAGATGCGTTTGCTTCGACCATCCTCTCTGGAAACATGCCTTTAACAGAGCGTGGGGCACTAGGCTGTGCCTGGAGACAGCGAGTATTGAGCGTTTACTGAAACCGCAGGAAAGGCTACCCTGGGAAAGTTATGACCTCATCTCTTCCAGCAACGCAGCCGCCCTGGCTGGGAAGAGGCGAGCTTTGGAGAATCAGCAGAGGAGCCTGCCTCTGTGTCTCTGGGTTACCTGGCAGGAGCACAACCTTCTCTGCACCTCCTCAGACATTTCCTAGAATGGCTCTCAGGCCAGGAAGCTACAAAGTGGCTGACTGAAGGGCCAGCAGGTGGTGTGGTGGTTAAGGCACTGAACTCCCACATGGCTGATTGCAGTTCAAGTCTTCGACCTGGCAGCTTGAATACATTAAAGTCCAGTGACAGAGCCATTACACTAACTGCTGGTCCCAATACAATCTCTTTATAACTCTATTTTAATGTCAGATACCAAACTTGATCTCGCTGTAATCATAATACTATAAACAGAGTGCCTGAGAGAGAAGAGGTTTTGATCTAGCAGATGAAAAAAAAGAACAGATTTCTCCCTTTTTTTTTTTTTTTTTTTTTTAAAAAAAAGGCAACAAACTGAAAAGGTCTTCCAGTTTTTCTTTCTAGAGACTAAACAAAAACAACACTGCAGAAAGAGGGGCCAGCAGATGGCATGGTGGTTAAGGGCGCTGGACTCCCACATGGCCGATGGCGGGTCAAGTCTTGGACCTGGCGGCTTGCTTCCTCACTGTTTCTCTCTGTGTCTCTCACTCTGTCTCTCTCTGGTCAAATGAAAATTAAAAAATGAATAAAGTTAAGTAAAAATGATTCTTTAAAACAAACAAACAAAAAAAGAACAATGCTGGAGAGAGAGAGACAGGACTGGATTGTGAAGGGCTTTGACCGCCATGTGTATCTTGGTCCTGTTGAACTTAATCTGAGTGTGCCCTACATTGGGAGGTTAGTTCAGAGCAATAACAGAGACCCTTGCTAGAAAAAGCGAGAGCAGGAGTTTCCGATGTCTAAGCCTAAATCTACTGCTGGGTTGTCAGGTTGTTGCCCCGACAGATCCTAAAACTTGCATCTGTACCAGATTGAGTGTTTACATTTAGAAATGTGACATAATCCCTCACGACACCCTGGCTTTCAAATGAGAACACAGGCTTAGAACACGTGCCCTGGCCCAGCCATGGTGGCCCGCACAGGTAGCACCACCACTTGGGAGGCTGGAAGCACGTGGGAGGCCTGGGTTCAGTCTCCAGATCAACCTGAACATGTCAAAGTGATTGGGAGTGCCTGTGACCCTAGCTAATTGGGAGGCGAGGGCAGGGGAGTTGCAACACAGTGAGACCCTTTCAAGACCACCTATCTCAGGACCAGCAGTTGGTGTAATGGCTATGTTGCTGGATTCCCATGTAGTCGACCGCGGTTCAAGTCCCAGACCCGGTGGCTTAAACTCATGCTGGGTGCATGTGTGTGCATACCCGCCCAAGATCCGAAGAGGAGAATGGAGAAGGGATTGTGGTGTGGCCATCCCTTGGGGGT